TATTTATCGGGCTGGTAGTAGAAGAAGACATTATTAGAGAGGCTGCAAAGGAAACCAGAAAAAGAGGAGCAACCAGGAAAGAGAGAAGATCTGGAAATTAGTGGAAGCATCAGAGGATATAGAATTCTCAGGTTGTGCAGAGTCTTGGAATAAAGACTGAAATCAGCCTCTCAGATCTGACATTTAAGAAGTTATTGGCTGCTGCAAATGGCTCTTAAGACGAACACAATGAGCAAAGCTAGGAATTGTTCGTTTGCGTTGAGTGATGTGAAGTGACATTGTGTCCCCTGGATTCTTAGCCCCTGGTTACAGGGCAGGGTTTTTCTTTTTTCTTTTTTTTTTTTTTTTCAAGTTTGCCTATTTCTTTCATAAGAGAGAGAAAGGGAAGAAAGAAAGAAAACAAGCACCTTCAACTGGTCAACCAGAGAACTGAGCCAGTGGTCTTCATATGGATCTGGCATTATATGAGCAGAACGATACTGCCCAGGGCAGGGTTTTCGCAGATGTCAGCCATTCCTTCCTCCTATTGCCATGGCATAGAGTAGATGGACCCTCTTAGATCATGACTTATTTCATATCCAAGGATTGTTGCAGGGTGCAGGTTGGGCTCTAAGATTATCCCCAGGCAGTAAGGACATATGACCATTACTACCTTAATGGTAATGTCAGGGCTCAGCCCTCTTCAGGCTTCAGTCTGTTAAAGCAGAGCAAGCACATTGCTGACAGCTCTTCCCTGTACTCTCCCATCAGAGGGGCTTACTTCCACTCAGTGACTTATTTCCTCCTGAGACCCACCCAGTGAAGCTAAGAACTTGATCACTATTAGCTCAACTGCTTCCTTGTTAGAATTTCAAAGACAAGTAACACTGAGGAACTAAAACATTTTTATGGACAGCTGTTGACAAAATAGATTAAAAAAAATGCATTCTAACCCCAAATATACTTGATAAGTAAGCCTAAACTAAATAATAACTGAACATTCTGTGTGTATTACTTATATCCCTTTCAAGGCAAATATCAACTGGAAGCCTGAATTGCCACATGTATTGGTGATTTTCAGGACAGAAGTTTTAGCAGCATAGTTGGGACAGAGCCACTTTACTGTAGGATGGGAAGTGAAAGGTGCTAAGAAAAATGAAGATAACAAGGACATTTCATTCAGTAAGCATTAGTTGAGCACCAGCTATGAGCCAGGTATCTGGCAAGGCACATTGGGAGATATTCTGAGGAGTATGTTGTGATCTTTGTCATTCAGGAACTCCTTTTATCAGTGTAATGAATACACTTAAAAAGATAGATAGATAGATAGATAGATAGATAGATAGATAGATAGATAGAATATATGCTTTTTTTTAATGACCAAAGGGTATGTGCACTCATTAGAGAGAGACAGAGAGATGATGAGAA